ATTCATTGGAAACCTAACTACAAGTTATATTAAGAACTAACATTAAAAATTACAACAAAGACCAACAAGTTAATCGAACCCACACCGTCTTGAACACCAGGAACAGTAACTAGTTTTAATGCAATTAAAAATCACAAAACTAAACGATAACAAACAGCTGAATGAAAATATTTCAACATTTTGTTATGATTATGTGTGGATATTTAATTAAATACGGCATCGACTCAAAAACAAGACCACCCACAAAATGTCAGCAATATAATTAGTACAGTAGTAACAGTTCGTTGAGTATGAATGAGTAACTATCCTGCTTACCCACTATTAGAGGCTAGCTTGATAACCACAGTCCAAATAACTCGAGTATCAGTGACACTACGACCTCTAGCTCCAACTACTTATATAAATGACAAGAGTATTTTAATACATTATTATGTACGAAAATGTAAATATTTACTAAAGAATTTTGTGTAAAACTCGACAAGATGTGGAAACCAGAACAGAAAACTTTCATGTGGCCAGCAACGTGTTCGTAACTCCTTTGGTGTTGCGGGTATCTATACCTAAGCGGTGGCGATTGCTTACCATCAGGTGATCCGTCTGCTCCCAATCTATCGTATAAACAATTTTTTATAAACTACGTATAAAAAGAACAGGCTTGAACTGCCTCTTTTTTTGAAGTCGGTTAAAAAATATACTCAAACCTTCATCTAACTGTAGCAAACAACTTTTTTTTTTATCTTTATTAAGAAAAAGGCTTTAATCGCGAAGCGATGATGCCAGCCCCATAGTGAAAGTAAATAACAAAAATAAGTAATAACTAATATCTTAACTTAATTAATTTAACAAATAAACAACATATCTTAAAAGCTAATTTGGATGTAGGTTTAGACAAAATCAAATTACACATACCGACATCTCTTAAATTTATGCTGTATTCGTATTCTAACTCTCTCCGGTCCACGCCAATCCGAGAACACTCCACCATAGCGTGGTAGACATCTCCCCTTACATCGCAAGTCAAACAGTTAGGAGAATTAATAACTTTCATTAGATGTCCAAACGCATTCAATGGAATGTGCCCGGCTCGCAAACGTAAAGCAAACAACTTTCTGAAAACCGCATCAAAATCGGTTCAGCCAATCCCGAGATATAGGCACAAACATACATATCAAATTACGAACCTCCTTTTTACGAAGTCGGTTAAAAAGAATTAAGAGCCAAACAATATAAAACACATATTATTGTTTCCGACATCTTTATCTTTTAATTTTTTTCTGCTTGAAATATATATGCATAACCTTTCAGGCTTTTTTAAGGGGGGAAAATCATCGAATGGCTGATCCTGCCTGGGTGAAGCGGGAGGGAGTGTCAGACTCTTACTGACTAAAACCCACCCCGTTCCTTCTCCTGCACGTCGAGCCGGAGCCCCGGTAAACCGTTAAGTTCTCCGCGGCTCCGAATCGGCATCAGCCCTATTGGGCCCCATCCGTGGTGGTCTGATGGTTCTTGAGTCAGTATCCAACAACCGGCTGAAACTTTCAGTGGTCTCCTGTAATAGAACCTATTGTCAATCGGAGTTCGAATCCTTCATGACACCTACGTACTATTGAATTGTTTAAAAAAAAATTAACTGGTTGCTAACCTATAAGTCTCCTTTAAAAAAACAATTTTTACAATCTGTATGTTCAAACTCCAGCACATTAAGTTACCCTAAGCTGTAACCGATTTTCGACATTATTATAAAACGAAAAGCTTGAAACTTAACTCGGCCAAC